TCAGATGTCAGCTGCGGGCCCAGGAGCTTGTGGCTGTCAGCCCTCTCCACTTCAGACCTTTGATGGTCAGAGGCAGCAGAGGGGAGGGGTTCTTCCTGAAGTCTACTATTATTTCTTTTGTCTTGTTTATGTTGAGGATGAGGTCATTCTCCTCTCCACAAACAAGAATGTCGTTCACCAAGCTTCTGCAACCTGACTCGTCTCCCCTCTTGATGAGGCCCAGAATAGTGGTGTCATCAGCATATTTAATGATGATGGTGTTGTCATGGTTGAAGACACAGTTGTGGATGTACAGGGTGAAGAGTTTGGGGCTGAGACAGCAGCCCTGCGGCGAGCCTGTGCTGATTGTGACCTCAACAGACACCCACCCTCCCATTCTAACTACCTGTGGTCTTTCAGTCAGGAAGTCCAGAATCCAGTTACAAGTGGGAGTCGGGACACCGAGGTCTGTCATCTTCTCAATCAGCCTGCCCGGGCGAATGGTGTTGAATGCAGAACTGTAATCCAGGAAGAGCATTCTAACATATGTTCTGCTGCTGTCCAGGTGTTTCAGGTTGAGGAATAAAGCCAGAGCTACCGCGTTATCCGCTGATCTATTGGGGTGATAGGCAAACTGGAGGGTCTCCAGTGTCCAGGACCATGTGGTTAATGTGTGTGAGGAGCAGTTTCTCTAAGCACTTCATGGCCACAGATGTGAGCACCACTGGCCTGAAGTCATTCAGAGTTGATGTGTCTGATGTCTTAAGGACCGGTGCAAGGACACACTTCTATTGAGACACAGTTTTGGCAGTTTATTCTGACCACCAGAAGGTGGCGTAACAGACTCAGGAAAATGCGAGGAACTGCTGCTTGGGTTAAGGACAGCGTGAAGATGTCTGCATACACACTAGCTAGTTGATCCCCACAGACTTTCAGAACTCTTGGGGAGACACCATCTGGTCCCACAGCCTTATGGGGATTCACCTGTCTCAGGGCCTTCAGGACCTGTGGGTGTCACCTGAAAAGTAGTGTCCCCGAGTTGCAGGGTGATCTTGAGAGGGTGTCTGTGTTCATCCTGTCAAACCTTGCATAGAAGTTGTTGAGGCTGTCCGGGAGGGTCACGTCTCGGGAGGCTGTGATTGTTGATTTATTCCTGTAGTTTGTGTGCTTTTTTTCTGAGATTGGCTTTTATGTTACATACTACACATATATTTTTATGTAAAGTCGATCTGAAAATGAACAGATATAATGCAGTAAAGGATACATTTTTTTTTGCATGTAGTGCAGTTGAAGTAGAAAATAAGTTACTTTCCCCCACTCACTGCACGCTTCTATTGAGACACAGTTTTGGCAGTTCATTCTGACCAACAGCACAGATTTTAAATGTATGCAAACATTACAAACCCATTTTTATGAGTCAGAGAATGGAAACCATTCATCTAGCAGGTGACTTATGGTCTTATATTTTCATAAATGCCTGTTGTAAATTCCTCTGCTGAAAGTATCATATGGTTTTCTACTTGTAGGTGAAAGCAGGGTGTGTTCTGTTCAAGCTAAGCCTGCATTCCTGTTAGACATCTGAAGAATAAACACTCTTTTCCACAGTGCACCAGAGTTTGTATAAAGGTGTACACTTCTAAAACATAGGCAGCTGTGGCTCAGGAGGTAGAGTGGGTCATCTCCTAACTGGAATATTAGCACTTCGAGTCCCACCTTGTCCAGTCTATGTGTCAAAGTGTCCTTGAGCAAGACACTGAATCCCCAGTTGCTCCTGGTGATGGCACTGGTATCTGGACTTGGGGGTGTAAATGGGCAAATAGCATGAAAATGCTTGGAGTGTGTTACAATGTACAAGTATAAAACTATTTAAAGTCCACTCTCTGCCTTCAGAGCCCATTTCTGAACCTCTTGTTTATTTTACTGCTTTGAATGTTTTTTGTCTTGACCTGTATGAACCTGCTTTTGACTGATAACACTGACTCAGTTTAAACTTTGATAGAGCTAATAAGAGCAACATGAGGCTGTCTTCACGTTCATCAAGAAAAGAAAGTCGCCAGAAGTCTAAAAAGCAAAAGCTGACATTTCCTCCAGTTTATTGTTTGGCTGATATTAATCTGAATTCACTTGTTGTATACTCCCTTATGTCACCGTCATCCCCAGGTGAGTGTGTTAGTGATAGAAGTGAGCTGTGTGTTCTGCTGTACCACACTCTGACAGAGATGGTGTCCTCTCACTGCTGCTGCAGCAGCTCATCATGGCTCAAACAGAGAAGCTGTCAACAGGTGGGAATACTTGGTTTTAATGCATCTGTACAAATGCAGCTGCTGCTGTTAGCGTGATGCTGCAGTGTAGCGATCACATCCAAAAGCCTTCTGGGCAAACAGATCAGATTCTTTGGTGACATGAGAAGAAGGTGCCTCACACATTCTCAGCATTCAGTCTAAAGAAATGCACACAAATAGTTGTTTACACTAAGACGATGACTCATTCATGACTTTCCATCTGGATTCATAATCAAATATTATACCACATGCACAGTTTATCTCTACAATAGAAAAAAAGCGACATTTTATTTGGATTATTGTAAGTAAAATGCCAACAAGACGATCACACTCACACAGTGGTAACACATTCTCACCCAGTGTATGCTGCCCAGTACAACCAGTCTGATCTACAGCGCACTGAGCAGTAGTTTTACAGATAGAATCTTCTGATAACAAACAAATAAATAAAATTTGGGAATTTTTTTGTTTTCTATCAAGGTGTGACAAAAAGCATCAAAGTTTTTGAAGGGTTTAGTCTTTTTTTGTTGTAATATGCAGTATAAAATCAGTTTACACAAAAATAATGACAGTATTCAGCATTACCAAATTATGTTTTACTAAAAACAGTGATAAACACTGGTACCCCACACACCACACACTTCTTCCCACATACAGGGGAAGAATGTTCAGCAAAGTTTCTCCCGCTCATCTTTCAAACAGCTAAACATGTTCTGTCTAGTATGAAAAGGAAAGTTCAAAGCATGTTGCTTTAAATCGCAGTATGAATGCCATTAACATCAACATGGCTATAAAGTAAATGTGTGTATATACAGTAAGTATAGTGTATGTGTGTGTGTGTGTTGGGGGGGATCCACCACCACCAAAATTCCACATACAGGATTAGAAATTAATATCATTTGACTGACAGACAACAGCTCAGACAACTTTAGAAATGTTTTCTGTAGATATAAAAGGCATATTTACATCAGTGATGCATGCAACCATTTGAAATCACTCTGTGACTAATATGGGTGTGTTTACATGCATGTAAGTAACCCAGTTATAATCACTAATCCAAGTGTTTAGAAACCTAAGCCAGAGTACCCAGAGAGGATCCACACAGCCACAGGGAGAACATGCAAACCCTGGGTCAGCCAGGCCTCGAACCCTAAACCTTCTTGCAGTGAGGTGACAATGCTAACTAATGTGCTGCTGTGCCACCTGTTTCAGTTTCTGGTGAAATTGTGTCTCTAATATTCTGACCCTCTCTTATATGTAGTTTGGGAGGGCAAAAATATAGAGGACCCTCTGAATATAATGTAGTCCAGTACAACACAACTATGACCTCAAAAATAAACTAGAATTGAATTTATACATTTATGACAATTTCCCCAAAAACTGAAACATTTTGAGCATAAACACAGATCTTAAGGTGGAAATGTTGCATTGAAGGGCATACAACTGTACAAGTGTACCTAATAAATGAGTGTACACAAGGTTTAAACACACACACAGCTTTCCAGGGAATGATCTCTAAATGGTCCTTCTCATCTTATAGCCACATTGTCAAGATCCTAACGCTAGAACAGCCATCATTATGCACAACCATTACACACAGCTACAGCTATTTATAGAGCACTGCAATTTAATCGTGGATCTATAAAGGCTTATTGCCAGGCCAGTGATGTCTCAATCACCATTAAACAAACATGAATTGATCAGCTAGCCCCAGACCCGTGCATGTAACCAGGTATCCCTGACACAACCTCTATAGAACAAGCTAGGCCGAACTTTGTTTGGGCCTACTCCTGCTGTTTCTCCCGTCATGTGTACACTCTCCTCCTGGACAAGGTACCCAGCCTCCTCAGCTACCTCACTTGTTGCAATAAAATCTGTAGTTCTGGCCTCTGTAGAGCCAGGATCTGTTCTCAGTGCTGTTCTTAAACAGATTTTTTTCCTTTGAAGGCAGATCAGTTTTAGTGATTTCAGCATTAATAAAGTTATTTACAGCTTTAATGATCTCGGCTTCCTTTAGTGAATCAAGCCTACCTGGTTTTTGGAATACTATTGGTTTCTGTTTTTTGCTTCAATAAAGAAATTCCTTGGAACTGGTTTACTCTGACCTGTTTACACCGACTCTCAACTGGACATGACCCATCTGGCCAAATTTCAGCCTGTCTGACCACTTTCATTACTGCTACCACATGTCTCACCCCAATTCGTGGTTGCCCAGCACCAACTTCCAAAAGAGTGATTGGCCCTAACTCCATCTGTCCTAGCTGCCCAAACCATGATTGCCCCAAATTTCTATTTTCTGCTACT